AGAGAAGCTCCTAGTCTGGGGGAACATTGATGAGAAGGCCTACAGAGAGAAGAAAGCCTTCCCCTGGAGCTGATGCCCCGAATTTGAACTTTTAGCCTACTTTACTGTGAAGAAATAAATTTCTCTTTGTTAAAGCCATCCACTTGTGGTATTTCTGTTATAGCAGCACTAGATGACTAAGACACATATCACGGGAAAAAAAAAATCTTGCCCTTTTGTGATCATTAAATTATTTGTAAACCTGTGTAAATGTTTGTAAACCTCAGGAAGGTCATCATTTAACTCCATCCCAGGCCATCAGCTCCGCGAGAGTAGGAACGGTGTACATCTTCTTCAATGTTGCAGCCCCAACACCTAATCCAATGCCTGGCACGTAGAAAGCACTCGATATGTATTTGCTGACTGATAATACTTTAATCCCACTCTATAGAAAATACTTTTATGTAGATTAATGGAAATATCTTCCGAGGAACAGCAAAATAATTAAATAAACTGTTATTTTAGAACTAAAATGAAAATCAAGTTCTTGGGTAGCAGTCCATGTCCATTTGGGGAGAAAACAATAGATCACCCTAGAATTCATATAAACCAGAAGGGGAAAGCCAGGGTGTAGTCTGAAATATACTCCCAAACCCATTGCCGTCAAGTAGATTCCGACTCACAGCGACCCACAGGGCAGAGCAGAACTGCCCCACAGGGTTTCCAGGGCTGTGAATCTTTACAGAAGCAGCCTGCCACACCTTTTTCTCATGGAGTGGCTGGTGGGTTCGAACCACTGACCTTTCAGTTAGCAGCCAAGCACTTTAACCACTGCACCACCAAAGTCCCTGAAATACACTCCAGTTTTCAGAAAATCAAATATAAAAATATCCAAAAAATACATGAGTTCATGTCCAGAGACTCAAAAGAAACAAGTCAGCTCTTAAAATTGCAATTCCAATTCTGCCATCACAAACATTCCCAAGGAAAAACAGGGAGTCATCTACAGAAGCCAGTGTTTACACGTGACTACACTCCAGCGACCTACTTAAAAATGTGCACAAATAATGGCGGATTACAAAACCGAACCAAAGAAAACTGTCAAACGACTGCTCAGGTTCGTAAGAACAAAGCCCCAAAGGTGTGCAAGCTTACATAAATGCTAAGACGAGAAGAGCTTCTGTAGATATTTTCAGTGAGGACAAAATGAGGTCTACAGCTCGCGGCCAGTGATGGTGGAATTTACAGACGTTAGAATCAAAGTAGAACCTCAGTTTCCCTTTTCTGCTGCGAATGCTGTTTAGGAAGAAGCACGTGCTTGTGGAACACCGAAAAAGTGCTGGGTGCTGAGCTGAATGCGTTGTACCAGGTACACAGCCCACGAAGCAGAAATTCCCACCACTGCTTTAGAGACAACGACACTCTCAGGGAAGTCAAGAATGTGCCTGAACGTACTAGGTTAATCAAGCAGCTGAACCAGGATCCAAATCCAAGTTTTACTCCAAACTCTTTCCACTAAACCACACTTCCTCCTTGTTACGCTGAAAAGACTTAAGTGGATATTGGTCATTGGGAGTATCTCTTGAGGAGATCATGAAAACACACCAAATGCTAGCATCTGTCATGACCCAGATAAACGAGACTCAGCGACCTTGGAATAAGATCCAGGTGGTGGCCTTTAAGGAATCATGGATGATGGGGACAGGCAAATATCACTCTCGTTTTCTAAAGGAACGCAAAGATAAGTACGGGAAGGGGCACAGCTCTGGTGGGCAGGGGCCAAACCTCTTCTGCCTTGGCATCTCCAGCGCCCAGTCCAGTACCTGGGGCCTGATGATAAATACACGCAGAACGAATGGCACGCTATCTTTACACGACTGAAGTGCTGCCAAGCAGATGCAAGATTACACTTGTTTTGAGTGAGTCCAAGGGAGAGAAAGTTCCCAGTTCCAAGGGGCTATGCAAACACGAGGGAGACTTCAGAAAACCACGTAGCAGTCGGAGATGTCTCAAGGAGGAAGGCACCATCGGGTGGGGAGTGAGTTCCCCATCGCCGACGACCCTGCTGATTCGGGTGAAGTTATTAGAAGGCAGCCTGAGCATGTATGCATGCCCTCAGCTCTCACTGTGATTGCTGTAAACAGTCACCCTGCCTCGAGCCTGGTGTCTTAGATCTATCTCCCATACGTCTGCAGAGGCGGGTAACGGAGAAAGGGAGGGAAACATTAAACGTAAAAAGCAGACAAGAAGGTGAGAGAGCTCTCCATTCTCTCCTGCAAGCTGTGGCTCTGGCTCCTATGACTCAGAATTCGTAACACTTCTAGACTAGTTCTACCACCCTTACTCAGTAGGCTTTCAATGGCTACTCTGGGAACTAACCACCACCAACGGCATTACTACAGGAAAACGAACTCTAAATGACTGAGTCACAGACAACCTCACACGACATAATCCATCAAGTTGGAAACTCCATGAATTTGCATCACCTCCCTCACGCGAAATCTCCCCCACCACCAACGAAAGAGGAGGAAGTATCGGGCTCACTTGATGGTGACCCCAATAATTTCTAGCAATTCTCAATTAGTGACCAAGTTAATTAGCAGGCAAATTACCTGAAATTGAGACTTCCTAAAATTCACTTCTTTATTCAGTTCCAATGCAGCGCAAGTTGGCATAAAAGTCAGTATCAAGCTCGTGGACCTTCTCTTTGCAGAAACAGAAAAAAGTAAAGGATTTGTAAATAATGAAAAGGTAGTAAGATTGGCACTTGAAGTGCCTTCCCTCCCACCCTCGGATTCCGTGTAGGCATGCTCCAGAAGTAACTCCCCACAGTGGTGGAGATGCCCTTGAAGAATCTACCATGCTGGCTTCAGCACCCAGGGTAATCAAAGGCGGCTGGGTCAGGACAGGCCGTCTTGGTGACCAGGGCCCAGCAGGCAGCGGAGCAGCCACGTTATGACTCTGCTCCCACCAAATAAGCAAAAAGACACCCCCCACCCCACACACACACACAGGGACCTACTAGTGGGGGGAGAATCACAACACAACCACTTCTCATGGAAAACAGGCCAAATGCTAACTATTCGCATAATACAAAGAAAGTGCTGAAAACTAAGCTTCCTTTCAGAGGGTACCACCGTGATGACGTGACTTCAGCTGGGCTTACTACTGCACGCTTACCTCGGAACTCCATAAAACCATGACGAAGAAAATACAGACATTACATGCTGAAGAAACATGGACGTGTGAAAGGTGGCTACGAAGAAATGGAAACAGGAATGATATAAGCATATTTTCTTTTATATACAAAAATGAAGGCCCACAAAATGGTTTGTTGAAGTCGCTATTGACAGGATGTTAAATTATTTCTCCCTCGCTTTGGTTAAAACAGCCTCGGAACATCCCCCAGTTCCCCTTCTACCAACAGCATATAAACACAGTGACAGGACTACTTGGAGTACAGAACAAACAACTTTTGAAAAAAGAAATTAAATTAAACTAAATTAAACATTTTACCAATAAATAAATTCTTTAAAAGGTAGCATCTTCATCCTACAATCTCGGGCATAACATACATACCAATTTAAAAAACAAAATTTTTCCCACAATAGTAATTACAGGTGCCAAGGCAAGAAGCTATGAAATGAGATTACTTTAATGTATCTTTTTTTAAAAAGAAAATCCTAGCAACAAAAAATGAATTAAAAGTTGACATTCTTCTAAAATCGTACATACTCTAATGGATTAGTACTTTATTACAGAACATAATTCAAACTATTGCTGGCATTTCAATATATTCCTAAAGAAATAGTTAAAAGAAACATTTAGTACACCAGAACTGTAACAGAGTGTGTAATTCTGATTTACGGCTAGAAAAAGGCAATCAACTTCTATTTAAAACTGTAACCTGTGAGGAAACATGGTTCAAAAACAAACATTTGGTCTGACAGTCTGATGTTTGCTGCTGATGGAGGTTATTTTAATCCAATGTGCAAAAAAAAAGAGCAGCCGTCTACTTTTACTTGAAATACGTAAGACCAACAGTCCTATACTATTTACACACTTAAAAGATTTTAACTTTATTAAGTTAATTAAGCATATTGCATCTCTCTTGTGGATAGATGAGGTGCTGCAGAGAGAGCCCAAAAGCTTGACGACTTTCTGTTAATGTATACAAATGTATTTGAAGGAGCATACCTGTGCTTGTCCTAATTCTTATCCTAAATAAAAATCCAGTTTCAAAATCAATTAACAATTATTTTGATCTATAACATCTTGGGATTGTTGCAAATGTGGCAAGCTTGTCTCTTAAGGGCCAGGCCCTTATGTACCCTTTGCTGTTCCTCTCCCGACTGCTCCCATGGGCAAACCCATTCTGTATGCAGCAATGCCCAGAAGATGAGGAACATTAGAACGTTGCCCCAAGACCACCAACATCCACGGGGTCTGCTCAGCCCTTGGTACAAATGACTACATCCTTTGGAGTAGGTATGGGGCAATACAAATGGAGAAACACTTCAGCAAAGCAACCATTATTTGCCCGCAAAAAAACAGCGAAAAACAGTGACATAAAATTAAGAAACCAAACAAAAATGTGATACCATTCTAGATTTTCAGGACTTGCTTTCCCACTTGTCAAGCGTTGTCGGTATAAACCACCCACCAAGGTTTTCTACGTCTACATCGAGTACTTCTGTCATTAAAACTGCTGTTTTGACCGTAAGTCACGCATCGGCGTGACGATTAAGAAATCAATTTACTCAGTTCTGATTCTGTACAGTGCACTCCACCGTGCAGCACAAAGAGCAGTTAAAAATGGAATACAAGTCGCTCACTTCTAAACTAGACACCAGAGCTCTCAAATTAAAACCATAAAAAGGGGGTGTGGGGACAGACGGACTTACTGGCGACACTAATAGCAGACAGCGGACAGGACAGTGGAACCGTTTGGTCAGAACCTAGGAACGGATTTCCTGGAAAAGTTTTAAAAATACCTAACCAAGCCCTGCCTTGAGTCCAGTGAGCACGACGCCCCGTAAGTTTCCACAAAAGCACAGGGACTGGCACTCGCTGACCAGGCTCCCTGTCCTCAGCCTTGCCGCCCAGGCACAGCGCCCCCGTCCCATCACCTCTAGCTACAGGCTATCGTTTCCAGCTGTTGCTCAGCTTCGGCGGCCATGGCTGCAGCCTGCAGCTGTTCTGTCTCGCTCTGGATGGCACTGGGAGTAACCTGCTTCCTTTCACTGTGCATATTGTTCTCGTGCCGTTTCAGATCAGACGCCTTGGCGAAGGCCTTGGTGCAGGAACCACACACGAAAGGCTTTTCCCCTCTGTGTCTCCTCTCATGGTCCTTGAGGTGGGACTTGTGTTTGAAGGCTTTGTCACACATGTGGCACGCGAAGGGTCTTTCATTACTGTGCACTCTCTCGTGCTTCTTTAGGTCTGGGGCGCGAATAAAGGACTTTCCACACACCTCACAACTGTAGGGCTTGTAGCCCGTGTGGATTTTTAGGTGTTCTTTCAGGTGGGCCTGTGTGGTAAAACCTTTCGTACACATCTCGCAGACAAACGGCCGGTCCGCCGTGTGGAGTTTCTCGTGCTTCCTCAGTCGGCCTTCATCAGAAAACGTCTTGCCACAGGCCTGGCAGGCGATCTGCTCGCGGTGATGTCCATAAAGCAGGTACTCGAACTTCATGTCGCTGGTGGCCGTTGTCCAGCCTGGGGTTTGCTCGTCTTTCACCTCACTCATCCCATCATTGAAAGTTAAGGCTTGAGGGGTCTGGGACCCTAAATCTTTGGATTCCGGGGTCTCCATGGATTCGACTTCCTGACCGTAGCAGTTTACTTTGCGGACTTCCTCACTCCCCAGCTCTTTGAGAATCGCCTCCTGAACCCTGAGTGTGGTCGTGGGCGACTTGCCGTCCTCCTGGCTCGGGGGGGTGCCTTCTACCGTATCGTCAGAAGGACTGTCGTCCTGATCTCCGATCTCCTCCACGTCGTCATCCTGAGTGTCCGCGGCGTCGCCAATGGAGCGGTTTATTTTGAGGCAATACTTGCTTTTGGACTGGCCGCTGTTTTCGTCAGGACTAGATACATCACGCTTTTGAGAACAGAGTTTATCCAGAAACCGGATACCAAGAATCTGACCGGATGACATCATTAGGTTGACGTCTTCCTTCTTGACGGAAATCTTGGCCGTGTACATGTAGTTCAGGACCTCTTCGAATATATCCGAACGAAGGAAATCTATCTCTATTACTGAAGAGCTATCGACCTCGAGCTTCTTGAAGAGCTTTTTAAAGTAGGTGCTGCAGGCGGCGAGGACGCATCTGTGCGCTCTGAACTTCACATCTTCCACCACGATAGCAATATCGCAAAACTCTCCTTCCAGACGCTGTTCATTTAGTGTTTTCAGAAACAGAGTTTTATGATCGTCGTCATTATATTTAATGGTTTCAGACATACTGATGAAAAACTCCTACAAAAATTTTTAAAAAAGAAAATTTGGTAATTATGCATAATACTTCTCCACACAGAAAACACAGCTAGATTTATTTTCATTTTCTGATTGAGTTTTGGGACCTAAAGATCTCACAAAGTCAATGTCAAGAGTTTGGTTCAACTGCATGAGCAGAAGAGACCGATCCCAACTTATGGGCTTCCATGTTGTTACCTCTGTTTATCTTCAGTTTACTAAGTGTTTGCCCCGTAGACGCAGTGATAGCAAAGGCTCTACTGGGTGGTGGAAATGGTTAACACGCTCAACTGCTATACAAAAGGCTGGAGGGTCGAGTCCATCCAGAGGTCCCTCAAAAGAACCTACTCCCCAGAAATCAGCCACTGAAAACCCTACGGAGCACAGGTGTACTGACACACATGGGCTTGCCAAGAGTCAGAACTGATTCGATGGGAACTGGTCAGTAGTAATAATAATTACAATAACAGCACCTCTTACTGAGCTCGCAATACACGCTTCCCAACAAGCAGAGGTAACAATGACAAATGCTCAACATCAAGGTGTAAGAAACAGATCCAAGGCAAGGATTCTCTAGTCCTGTCGGTGGTGTCTACTCTAACCGCAGGCATGGATGACAATTAAGTAAAAACTAGTATCGTTTAGAGCTAGACTTCCTTGATTGCTGCCGTTAGGTGCTGTGGGGTCGGCGACCCCATGCACAAAGGACCAAAATGCTGCCTGGTCCTGTGCCATTCCTGGGCTCAGCTGGGAATCAATTGTTGTGATCCACAGGGTTTTCACTGGCTGATTTTCAGAAGCAGATGGCCAGGCCTTTCTTCCAGTCCACCTTAGTCTGGAAGCTCTGCTGAAACCTGTCCAGTATCACAGCAGCACGCGAGTCTCCAGTGACAGACGAGTCGTGACTGCACATGAGGTGTACTGGCTGGGAATCGAACCCGGGTCTCCTGCTGGAGAGTGGAAGGTGGGAATCGAACCCGGGTCTCCTGCTGGAGAGTGGAAGGTGGGAATCGAACCCGGGTCTCCTGCTGGAGAGTGGAAGGTGGGAATCGAACCCGGGTCTCCTGCTGGAGAGTGGAAGGTGGGAATCGAACCCGGGTCTCCTGCTGGAGAGTGGAAGGTGGGAGTGGAGGGTGGGAATCCTACTACTGAACCACTCCCCTTGACAGAAGAGACAAATCACTGCAGCCGAACTAGGAAGGGACATTACTGTCACCATCCCAGCCAGACCTAGTGTTTCCACACCAGTATACAGACACTTCTGAAGAAGAGGATTAAGATTTAATATGACCCTCGGAGAATTAAATGACATTTGGGAAGACAGTGACGAGTGGCTTCATTTCCCTGGATGTCAACCTATCTGCCATCCAGATAAAAGTGTCATCCATATTGGATGTCCTTCACAAGGGCTACATGTATTTTGTAAGCAAAAGAGATTTAGAACTGGCATAAAAGACATCTGTTACCATATTTAAAAAATGATCTTATAAAAATAACGTGGTCTATGTGTTTTCTTTTGTAAAACACTGCATTCCTTTCATTCAGCAAAGAATAAATATGAGAATTAATTCAACAAAGTAAACACTTGGGAAACATAAACATCTTCCCCAAAGAAACAGAACTGCTAATGCGTAATCAGAAGTGAGATGTGTATTTTGAAGCAAACGCTAAGTCATAATCTCAAGGTTTAATATCCACAGTTATAATTACCATGAACAACTGAAAGCTATTATCTCACTGCTTTAAACACCAAGATCTTCAGATCAGAATAATTCTGATCAGGCACACGCCAGACCTGCAAGAGAAAAGAACAAATGAGAGTCAGGGAGGTTCTTCCTCTATCCAAAATTCCAAGCCAAAAACGTTTTCAAGATTTAAAGAAATAGTTAAAGAAATAAACTTTCCTTTTTTGTCTTGCCATTGGCACATACACCCATTTTCAGGCTGTGAGCAAAAAGGAGGCAGCTGGCAGCCTCAGGCCTGCTCTGAGCGCATTCGAGCAGCACAGGTAAGGGCTATAGCACTTGAAGCTTCCCATGAGCGGTTTGGGGTGAGCGCCAAGAACTGAAGGATGGGGGGTGAACCCCTAAGTAATTTCTCCTCCCAAAGCCCACGTCAGTATTTGTACAGATGTTGACAGCTATACAGATAAGAGAAAGCCAACAGACACTCCCCACCCCCGCCATTTACTGCTGGGTATTCAACCTCTGGAGTCCCTGGGTGGCGCACACGGGTAACGCTGGAAAGGTTGCAGGTTCAAATCCAGAGGCCGGCAGTCTACTTACAAAAAAATCAGCCGCTGAAATCCCTACTGAGCACAGCTCTACTCTGACACACATGGGGTTACATGAGCTGGAATCAACCCAATGGCAACCAGTTTTTACGGAGCCTTTATGTTTTTCTCTAGGCTCACATAAACATCTAGGAATATATCTTTTTATGAATGTAGAAAAAGTTGCAGGCACACCCATACCCGCCAGCTAACATGGGAGGAGAGGGGAGGGAACAGTAGTGGCCCCCGCTGCCCCGTGGGATGTAACACACGACAGCTAAGCCAGACCGGTCTTTAAGCTTGCATTTGAGAGACGCTGGTGTCTTTACCTCTGTCCCTACAGGGAGGCTCAAAGAATTTTAGCTTTGTGTGAATTTTAACTCTTACCAGAGGGACTCCATCCTGCAGACCAATATCCTGAAAAACATAAAAAATTTCCTCTACTGAACAGTAGCCACAAATAAGCTGTTTGGTGTGGTTAGGAGGAAATGACCAGGCTGTAATAGTCTCATAAAAAAACTGGAGTGCAAGACTCATACCTAGAGACCAACATCCAGAAAACCATTAAAAAAAATTGCCTCTACAGAAAAGTGAACACATCAACAAAAGCTGCTTAGGGTAGCGGGGCTCATCTCGTTTGCCCACTGTGAGAGGTGGGCAAAATTAATCCTAGAGATGCTTCCAACTTCGACATCCTGTGTCTCTGCTGCCCTGTTCCCTAGATGCCCCCCGGCCTACAGTGCCCCACAGGGAAGGGGGCCTAGGGAAAACCTTCCTACCAGCTCACTGCCTAACTCTGTTAGTGACTTCCTAGGGCTTGTGGGACAGGCAGTGCATGGGACCAACGAGAGTACTGGCCACAGAGTAGTCATAGCAACACATCAGTGTGCTTAAAACAATTTGGGGGTGTGGGGGATGAATGGTAGTGTGTATTTTGCCACCCCCCTCCGTCAAGATGTCTGAGGACTGGAAAGGAGAGTCCTTACGTCCATCGGCCCATTTTTCCTATTATTGTGAGGTTCCAACTGCTAAGTTCACGTGAGTCAAACTGGAAGACACTCGTTGCCAGTATCTGCACAGGGGCAGGGAAAGACGTAGCTAGCCCCAGTTACACCTTCAGAATAAAGCTACTCCTTCCGAACTCTTCTTCAAATCGCTGGGACACTACTGCCATTACAGAGGGGAGGCGGAGGGCTTTGCTGCAACAGCCAAACTTACATAAGCGGCGCTAGCCGCTTCCCCACCCCGTGCAGCCCGCAGCCATGGTTGCCACGCTACTTCCCTGTTGAAAGCTGCAACTTCAGAACGGGGAGGAGGCAGGGACCGTAGCGCCATGACCCTAGGAGCCTTCAAGGGCCATCCAGCCCTCGCTCTCATTATTTTCGGGCCGTGTGGTGGGAGAGCGGGCAGGCCGTTTGGATTCCTTCCGAAACAAAAGCTCCCTGCGTCTCCGCCGGGCAGGGGAAGGTGGCCACGTCCCCTTCCAGGATCGGACGTCTGGACGCTGGCTGGAGGCCGGTATCGTCCCACCACGGCTCCGGGCCGGCGACTAGGACGGGCCCGGCCGGGAGCGAGAGCGGGCGTGCGGCCGGGTTCCGAAGCCCC